GTGCGCGCAAGCCGCGGGAGTCGGCCCTGCTCCTAGCCCGGGCGTCCGCCCTCTGGGACGAGTGAGGGGTCTGGGGCCGCACTGGGTTGCATCTCCTCCTGCAACGGTGCTTCACCTCCTGACGGCAGTCCCTTGGCCCTGGGCGCGAGTTTAGGTCTCGTGTCAGGGATCGGGTCTCCCTGAGCATCCCGCCTTCTGCTCCTGCCTGCTACAGCCGGCAAACGGTGCTTCCCGGACCCCACGGGCAGCCCTGCCCTGCAGCGAGCTGCTCCCACCCGGAGCAAAGCGCCGCAGCAACTCTAAGTGCCAGGCACTAAGCATTCAGCACGTCCTGACTGCCGGCGACACAGAAAGCCGGAGCGCGTTCTCTGTTTCCTCTGTTTCTCCTCTCCCCACATCCTCCCCCAGCCCGTGTCAGCCCTCTTGCTTAACCAGCTCGATCCCATAGGCTTTGCAAACACCAGGCACGCAGGGTGCCTCTCCTCCGCTTCTCCTTCCTGCTCTCTCCCCTCCAAACGCTGCTGCCTTCCACGTTGCCCGCCAAGGCAAGGGGACACGGTGCAGCAGGGTTCAGCCTCAGACACGGCTGCTCAGGGCAGCCAAACTTCCCCAGCCCTTCGCAACTAGGAACAAACCTCCTTCCGGATCCTCAGTACATCAGTGGAGCTGTGTACCAATACGCACCAGAAAGTGCTTTCCCCACCCTGCGGGAGGACATGGGGCTCCCTTTCCTTGGCATCAGTGAAACCAAGGCACCAGTTACACTTGCACTCCCTCTTTCTCAGAGCTCAGCACCCCAATAGACAATAAAACGGACATCATTTCAGGGCATCAGACAGCTCCTCCAAGCCTTTCTTCTGCTTTATGCATGCTAACCCCTGGCCTGCTGACCCTGGAAAGCGAGGGAAAAAGAGACCCTTCAGCTCTCGCAACCACCCTCGTGTTCCATAACCCACAGTTCAGGACACCTGATGGTGGGAAAAGCCCAAGGAGAAAGCAGCTCGGCAGCTGGAGACAGGAACACAAGGCCTGGCTCACATGTACATCCCCTAACAGGTGCCCTGGATGACGATCAGAGTGTGTCCCAGATGCGTCCAGGGTCTGATGCTCTGGGGTGGCAAGTGCCCCCGGCAAAAGCTCCAGTGCACCTCCTATTGCCCCTCATTCCCTTTTCTCTAATGGGTTTTGGAGAGCTGTCAGAAGTGACGGAGGAAGATGTTCACAAAGATATCCGGCTCTCTCAAGGTCCAAGCTTGGGTCCAGCGTGTCATACTGCCCAGGCAGGCAGGGACGTAATCGCTGGGCTCCAGGAAGAGGCACTTGGTCCCTCAGAAAGCAGAGGGCTCTGGTCTGAGCTTGACATGAGCTGCTACGGGCCAGGGCACTGCTCGCACACGGACACCTGTGTAACTGCAGCAGGATGTAGGGACAGCAGGGAACACAGCACCTTCATCCAACCCAGGGGCTGCATTCAGTGGGGCAGCAAAGCTCGGAGAGGACTCCCACAACTCCCTGCTCGGGCTAGCAAGAAACAAGATCCATCCCAGGCTTAAGTGAAGTGGGTTTTTCCCCTCCTCGTGATTGCTTAGGACAGGACAGTTTGAGGGACGTTCCCCGATGCCAGTCTGAACACCTCCGTCAGCTGGAGCACCAGCTTTCCCCCCTGTTGATGAATGCCACATGTGAAGGAGGAAGAAAGGCCAGAAACGCAAAGGTTACAAATTCCCCTACCCAGTGGGAACAGAAACTCCTAGCCTCAGGAAGCGTCCCCTACAAACAAATGACGCATGTCCCCTGCTCAAACCCCCCTCCTCCCAAACCAGCATTGCACATGTACGCACGACTGCTGTTAATCAGAAATGTGAAAAAACTCGCTGGTAATCTGGAAGTGATAGCAGTTAGCCTCTGGGAAAGCCTGCAGAGGCCCAGAAAGACATCTTGGCCAAGCCCAAAGCACGACTGCAAAGAACCGCAGGGAAACCCACTGGGCTGGATGCAGTGGCAAGACGGCGACTCACGAGACGTGCGGTGCTGATGCCTGCAGCGCCCGCTGGAAAGGACAACCTGAGTTGCGATCCCTTCCTTTGCCAATTCCTAACCCCCGGCGGGGGGACGAAGATGACACCGTTGCTCCCCGCCCCGTGAGCCCCATGACTGTAGAGGCAAACACAGGACTGACTTGATGGAGATCCTGTAGGCAAATCCCAGTACAAAACACTCTGCAACTTGGAGACCTGCTCCCCATCCCTAGCTCTGGTTCTGCCCTGTGTGACTTATCCCACTGCAGGAGGGCGAGAGGCCCGGCAAGAACGGGCTCTTCGCCTCAGCTCAGGCGCTTTCCCGGACCTACACGGCTCACGCCGCCCCCAGCCACATCCCCAGGTGAACGCAGGAGATGATTCAGCCACAGCACGCTCCCAGCGAGCAGGAGGCTTTCTCAAGCGAGAGCCCTCCCTTCCTCCAGAGCTGGTTTAAAAACTAAATATAGACAAGTCTCGCCAGCCTGCAAGCCTCCATGGTTGCCAAGCGAACCCTTCCCGTGTGAGCCACAAACTGTTGCAGGACTTTCTCGATGCACAAACAAACAGGAAGCCCTGGCACCTCTGCCACCGCTCACGACTTCCACGTGCTGTAGTGAGGAAAACCCAGCTCCTGGTTCCAGGGAGCTGACCGTGACCCACCGAGCAGCGCTCCTCCAGGCTTTGGGCTTGCGCCGGCCCCCGAGAAGCTGTACAAACCAACCCACAACACGCACAGCCTGTTCAAAGGAAGGTTTCTGCACACCGCAGCATAAGAAGAGAGCTGAGAGACGCTATTCCTCAACAGAAGCAGCTGCAGCCCCCCTTGCAGGTTTTCTCCTCGGTACTAAGCGCACAAGTAACTAGCGTTGAGAAGGAAGAAGCACAGCTTTATTCTGCTGAGAGAGGAAGAGGGAAGATACGGGAAGCACTGGGCAAAGAAATCCAACGCGTTTTCCTGAAAGGAGAGAAGGCCCTTGTGGTGGAAAGGGGAAGGAACAGAGCAGAAAGGCGCTCAGAGCCCTACTCCAGACATTCATTTGAAAGATATTGATTACACTGTGCATTTAATTCATATGCACTAATGGCCTATCACCAGCTGCTCAGAGAGCCTTCAGGAGTTGGCTAATTTCCCCAGGATTATTAGGCAAATGTATCCCACAATCCCTTTTGTTGCTCTGATCAGCCAGTGAATTACAGCTTGGGATGGGTGTTAGAGAGCTGGTAGCCGGTGCCGCAGTTACCCACGTGCAGAGCTACCAGGCAGCCGGTGCTCCCCGTCCCGGGGTTTGTCGCAGCAGGCAGGGCAGCACAGGTACTTCTGGCTCGTAAGGCTTGTCCTGGGCTCGGAGGCACCCATAAACACTGTCTGTACAGGCATGCGAAAACCCACCCGTCCAGAGCGATTCGTCCATCCCCATGGAGTCTGGCACCGCACAGGGCAAGACATCTATGCTGCGTTGTTCACCCTGGCTCCCAGCACACCACCAGGGAGGAGGACCTCCCACGGGCTACAGGCTTCCTCTAGACCAGACACCTAGCAGAGGTAATTGAAGACAGATAAAGTAATTCCTGCCACAAGGAAACACTGAAGCTATCTTCTTTGGAGCAGGCAAAGCGGGAAAGGCTGTGGCAGAGACGAGACCCTCCAGGAGAAGCAGCAGCTGCTGGGCTCTAGCATGGATGAAAGAGAGGAACCAATTCCTCCTGCTGCGGCGGGCTGCTCGCCCTGAGCCAAGACACTGCTTGCCACAAGGACAACCCTCTCTCAGGCAGAGCAATGTCCCTGGCCCACAACAAATGCTACCGCAGGGAGCAAGGAGAGACTGACAGCAGTCACACTTTCCACCAGGGAGAGACACCTGGAGGTCATCAGTAGAGAGACCGCTGTCACAACCCCCTTCCTGTAGCATTTGGAGGTGAGCAGGCTTTGCAGGGGCTGTGGATGGCTTTGCATCCCCAAAAGCCTGGCTGGGCTGTCCCACTCACATGCTTGTGGTTAACCACTCTCCAGTTTGGGGATCAGGCAGGAATTTTCCCTAAGATCACACAGGAAACGTTGGGATTACTTGTTGCATTTCTCTGATGTCCTCCGTAGCATGGTTCCTTTTCCAGGGATCACCTGGGACTTTTTACTCAATTAAGTACTCACAACCAGGAGTGCTGGTAATGCTGTTCTCTCCAGCTCACCTCCTGCAGCACACTAGCTGTGGCTTTTGGTCTTTAACTGTACAGTTATGTTAATTATGGAGTATTAGGAAGCGCTTTATGGACTGCGGAGGACACATGGAGTGGATATCAAATTCAGAAATGTCCCTGAACATCAATTAAATGGCTACCCGTGACCGCAGGGAGCTAGTTCATGACCCACATAGTCCTTTCCAGTCCTAAAGGAGTACATCCATATGGCAGCACTGGGCCTGGAAACTTGCTATATTTGTAGCAAAAGCCTGGGCCTTCACCCAGAGCTTTCCTAGGCAGGTTCACCATTCCTGTCTTTCCCTTTGTGAGCCAGAGGTCAACCAGTCAGGAACTGCGATAGCCCAGTGTTTATTCTCTCACCACCCCTGGGCTTGGTACTATGGGACACTGCACATGCAATCAGCCATCCTGTGCCCCAGCATGAACAAGGGCACACAGACACAGAGGATCTGAACATTGGTGCTGTGTTGGGAGGAAAACAAAACCCCCGATGCAATCCCTTAGATAGGTGATGTTTTTCTAGGATCCCTGCTGCAAATGCCATATAGCCTGGAGCCGATTGAGCCCATGGGACTATATCCAACAGGCTCTGTAATGAGCAAGCACATATTCAGTCAGTCACAGGAAAGGGCTGACCCATCAAAATGTCCTGTGCATCAGTCTGATCAGTGGCTGGCACAGAATAACCTTCTACTAGAAGGTCTGACAAGTTTCTAGCACACATTGACACTAGCATTTGTTAAGTCGGACCTTGTGATTCCTGGCTTCTGCCAGCCAGGAAGCGTCACCAGGAAACGGTGCTGAACCAAGACAGGATTGCTGCAATTCCTGCTAGTCTCTCTCCAGTGGCACCCCTGGGGAGCCATAGCCTCCAGATAAGTGTCAAGTTTTCCCTGTGCTTCTTTGCCACTGTGTCACCACCTACATGCAAGGGAATGACCCACAGGTTGCCAGAGAGGGTCCTCAACCCTCACTTGTATAGGGGACCCAGTTTTGTAATGCAAGAAGCCCCAGGTAGGGAGGGAACTGTCTTATAGGCAGATGTGCTACAGCTGGGTCCACTGCTTCCCTGAGGACCAACATCTTGGTTGTCCTACCCTGGCTGGAAGATACCAACTCATTGCCTTCTTCAGCCTCCTGGCTGGCTCACTCTCGCGGCAGCCAGGTCAGCCTCAGTCAGCTTTTTCAGCTTTAAAGCAGAGTTGCCTAAAGGATTAGCAGTGACAAAGAAACCTGGCTGATCACACACAGCAATTTTAGTGCTCTGCAGTCTGCACGTTCAGAGAGATGTTTCCAACTCTGTGTACGAACCCAAGATCCAAACCGTGCAGCCACCCAGCCCCAGCGACA